TAAATGCATACAAATATTCAACATCTAAATACTATTTAATCTCATAAACAAGAACTAAGAGGTCTTTTGCAGAGTTTTTAGAGCTTCGGCAAACTTCCTAAAAATACTGCTAGATGCCCCGTGAGATTTTCAAAAGTGACTGAGTACATAACTTTCCATGAAATTAACAGTGACGTCGGGACTCCCACTCCCTTATTCTAAGCAGTATAGGTCTAAAAAAAGTTAGCACTATTATTTATACAGTTCTGCTAAATACTGTTGAAATTGTATCATTTGTTTACTTAGGGAGAAACAACTGGAAAGTCGTGACAGACTGAAAGCTGGGAGCACAATGAACCAGATCTGGCTTCACATACTGAACCCAACAGATGCAGATAAGGGAAAATACACCCTGGAGTTATTTGATGGGAACAACTCTCACAAACTGTCAACCGACTTGTCTGGACAAGGCAAGCAGAGTCTAACAATACTGTCATAGGAATGAGATACACCTGAGTGTCTTTCCAAGATTCTTCAAATCATGGGCAGTGATTCCTCTCTCCCTTATTTGAGCTGGAGCCACGCTTCCATGACAGCACGCTATGAAATTAGGTTAAGAAGGACAGTGAAGTGCCCATAGAAGTCAGAGGAAACACAGGGATAGGAAAAGTGCACAGCAGAAAGATTGAAGCCTTTAGGCAGCCTTGCTGCCATAGCGTAAGGCCCTTCTGAGCGAACGACAAGTGGGATGAGCAGCTGCCCCTGGGATGTGTCTGATTCCTCCATAGACCAACAGACCTTACAGGTGGCATCTTGGAAAAGAGAATGTGGGTCCAGGTTTACAAAGACTTTTCCAAACTGTTCAAAGTTGGGTTTTTTTCCCTCCTCTAGACTTCTCTTTGGAAAGGGAGTACTAGATCCCACTTATGTCAGTAGTATATAAATAGAGTCATATTTCCTTAAGGCAGATATAGATACTGTCTAGATGGTAATCATACATATCTGTGTGCACAAATACCTGTAATTCCAACACTGATGCATTATGTTAAGCCTACTAAGTCAAATGAAATAAACGGCAACTTTCCCTAAAACCTCTTCATTCCTTGCAGCCTTTGAAGATGCCCTGGCCGAGCACAGAAGGCTAAAGTAAGTTCTGCCTAAATATTTTCACAGCTAAATCTATTTTGAGTGTCATATTCTCTATTGAGAATGCAATGCCTAATAAATAAAACCACTATAATTTTATCTCTCTCACTTTCAGGGAAGCAGCAGTAGCAGAAAAGTGTAAGTAAATTAATTTCCTTCCTTCTGTGAAACAGAGTCAATTGGTATGCTGATAAGTAAAATTAAAAGGTCATATTTGTTCATTCCCAGGTCGTGCCAGAGTTGTTCAAGGTCTGCCAGATGTTGCCACCATCATGGAGGACAAGGTAATGTTGAGTAACTGTTCGTATAATTGGCCCTTGATAACCACAGACATAGAAGATGATGGGGGGAAAACTATTTGTTTTCCCCTTCTGTGTGTTCCCAGCAGCTTTCCTGAGCCACTGCATTTGCCAAAGGTGTGAAGTGGTACCCCCCACAATATTCATATCGGCCCACTATATTGTTGATGGGGCTTCCAAACATGCATGTGCTTCTGCACATATAGATGCTCTTTGTGGCCCAGAACCTCTTTCTTGCAGGTTTCAGATGTTACTGCTTCCTAGGTCTGTTTCACAGCCAGATCCTTTCTGTTGTCTTCCCATTTCATAGGATTAGACTAAGGCCTTTAAATGCTGGACCTGATTTTCCCATCATATAAACTTGCTGCTTACATTTCTGAATCACATTCCCCTTTACTGGTACACAGGCAGAATAAAAATCCTGTAAAGTAATTGCAAATTCACCATGTGCCTATTTAAGTATCACTTTACAATGTAAGAAAGCTATAAAAAGATGGTAACACAAATATGAGTCAGGCCCAGTGAATTCAGTCAGGTTAATCCTGATTATACTGGAGGATATCAGTAAAAGGAGTGGACAGTCCTGGCATCTCACTCATTGAAAAGCTAAGAGAATTCATTTTTATTTTTCTCAATTTCTCATCAACTGAATTTCCTTGCTCATTTATAATTTATTTCTGCTATCTGTTTTACCATAGACCCTGTGTTTAACCTGCTGTGTATCTGGAGATCCTTACCCAGAAATCACTTGGTTCAAAAATGAGAAGGTTATCGTCTTTAAAGATCGTTACAAAATGGATGTGAAGGGGACAGTTGTCACGATTACTATAGAGAAAGTCTGCAATGAAGACACAGGAAAATACAGCATCTATGTCAAGAATAAGTATGGTTCTGAAACAGGGCAGGTTACTATCAGTGTCTACAAGCATGGAGAAATACCAATAGGAATGGAAGAAGAGGAAGTCTCAGATGGGATTATAACGAAAAAGTCTAAATGAATTAGTCAATTATGTCTCACTGAATTTAAAAGGATTTTAACTCCTTTGGATTCCTTTCAGTGTCTCTGCCCAAAAATTCAGGTTCATGTCTCTATTTTAGTAATATTTTATTTTGGTAGTTGTTAGAAAATGATTCTCGTGTGTGTGCGTGTGAGAGACACCTGGGGTTGTTCAGCCTGGAAAAGAGAAGGCTCTGGGGAGACCTTATAGCCCCTTCCAGTACCTAAAGGGGGCCTACAGGAGTGCTAGGGAGGGACTTTTTACAAGGGCATGTAGTGATAGGATGAGGGGGAATGGCTTCAAACTGGAAGAAAGTAGATTTTGATTAGATATTAGGAAGAAATTCTTTCCCGTGAGGGTGGTGAGCCCCTGGCGCAGGTTGCCCCGAGAAGCTGTGGCTGCCCCATCCCTGGAGGTGTTCAAGGCCAGGTTGGACGGGGCTTGGAGCAACCTGGGCTGGGGGGAGGTGGCCCTGCCCATGGCAGGGGGGTGGAACGAGGTGATCTTCAAGGTCCCTTCCAACCTAAACGATTCTATGATTCTACGTGTAGACATGCATGGTCACCTTACAGAGAAAGTTCTCCTAGTAAATCTGTGTGGGAAATACCAGAGGATTCACGTATGAGAACCAGGCTTTCAGTGGAGTTTTATTTTATTAAATCACCATGTTACTGATTATCTTGTAGCTGACAAATGCTTGCTTGTGTGTGAATTATTAAACTTATACCCTTGGTGGCACCTCAGCACTGTTGTCAAGTACATCCATCTTGAAATCAGTTGGCCAGTGTGGGGGAAGTTAGGAATTTTCCTAAATAACGTGCTGAATCAGGGCCTTGAAGTATGAACCTTTCCAAACCTAACCCATATGGGAAGAAAACAAGGCAGTGACATTTTTAAGGCTTACTTCTTTACAGGACAACATATTCAGCTTCTATATATACTGACATGCAGTAATACACTTACACAAAAGGGTTGAGTGAATGTCTACGGAAGTGATCAGGTTTAGTAGTTATGTTGGATTATTCTGGATATAGAAAAAAAAAGCTGAAGCCACAGCTATACTCCCAGCTTCTACCAGTAAAACTGTGTCAGTGAGAGATAAAAAGTGATTGTATTCCTAATACAGACATCCAGCTAAACACATTTATTCAGCAAAACATCATCTTACCTTACCCCACAAACCAGCGTAAACTGTCCTCACAATAGCAGTATTTTTCCCTGTTCCAGTGTCAATGTAAATGAGCACAGCAATCCTGTATAGGATTGCCAATCATTTCACCAAAGGCAGTTACATTTCAGACATTACTTACATTAAATGTATATCATTTATATGACTAAATTTAATAATATTAAAAAGCGAGAGCTTAGCTAATTGCCTAGATTCACCTTACAGTGAATGAAGAAAAGCAGGCCCTTCTGACAGCATCATTAACATTACTCAATGGTAAAAAAGATGAATCATGTCCTAGAATAGCTCCAGTATAAACATGCACCTTTTAGAGCCATGTGTGTTACACCCCACACATAAATGCAGCCTTATTCATTATCAGTACCTCATCCTTGCTACTCAGGTATTATCGTATGTAAATATAATTACAAAATTGGCTCTATGTGTGTGAACTTTCTTTAAAATTACATACTGAAAAAAAAGTTGTGAATTTGTAAGAAAAAGTTCAGGATTGGTTTTCTACTGGTATGGAGTAATAAAAGTTAACTTAGAAAGGTCATCTACCCCTGGGATACAGGCTCTATTTGAATTAAGCAATATAATTGCAAGACACATAACCTAATGAATGTCTTCCAAAATCAACAGTCATGCTTGCACAGACAGCAAGGAATATCACTCAATAGCTATAATGAGTACGGAATTCTTCGTGCAACTGGTGACAAGAAATAATACATCCCATTTACTTCTTCCATTTCAGTCTCCAAGCAATGTTCCATGTTATATTTTACCTTTAATCTTCTATGTATGCAGTGTTTATTAAAAAAATAATAATAAACTGAATTTAATACAGATTTAGATGCCCATTCCTGGCATCTACTGGATAAAGTCATAACTGACTGTCCCACTCTAATGATACTCCCTGTCCTCAAGTAATCGGAGGCCCACAATTTTGGAAGAAATAGCTGTGGATTTTATTCCCACCATTTAAGGTCCAAGTGCCCATTGTAGAGAATATTGTGATAATTAGGGAGTTCCTGCTGCAAGACAGTGATTATCTCACATCTATTGTAAATTATGACATTTTATCTGAAGAATTCTGTCCAAAACACAGAAAATGTATTAAACATAGAAGTTGCAAACAAAAAGAAAACCAATTAATCCATGCAACACTTTACAACAATTATGAATAATTACCCAAGTTCAGTAACCCACAACAAACATAACATCCCAAACCAGCTGGTCAAGGTAAGACATTCTACAGAGCAGAATGAACTAGAGGTTATGATCATTAAGAACAAATAAATGATTAATAATTGTTACTCCATGGTTAATAATTAGCCAGTCATCTCACAATTTGGGCTGGCCTTTCCCTTTCCATAAATAGCATCTGAATGACCAGGGAGAGCCCTCACTTTCCTGCTAGCATCACCACCCTAAACTGCCTTATAACATCCACAATGGCATTCAATGGAACCTGGCAGGTCTATGCTCAAGAGAACTACGAAGCGTTTCTGAAAGCTCTTGGTAAGTGCCTAGTTACTTTTGAAATAATTTGCTCAGATTGCAACACACACTTTATGTGACATTTCTTATTACTGTATTTCTATGGTTTTTTATCTTTCATTTGTATGACAAACTACCCCTGCCAGGTAAGTCTGTCGTGTCTAATTTGGAAACAAAAAGAAGCTGAAAATTGTACAAATAGATGTAGAAAGGTTACAGATAAGCCCCAAATCCCTACCTTAACATTAGATGAGTCCCTCGTGAAAGAAGAGGTGTATAAGAAATCAACTTGTTTTGACTAACACATAACTTTATAAATACTTTTAACTAGAAACTAGTTGTCAATGATGCATATGGATTTCCAAGTGCAGGCACTTTCTACAGCACTAGTGGTTAACATATATGATAGCTGCTTAGTAATCTGTAAGGGACATGGTTCGTGGTGGCTTTGGCACTGTTAGGTTAATCGTTGGACTCAGTAACCTTAAAGGTCTCTTCCAACCTAGACAATTCTATGAATAGACTCGGTGGTTATGACTTAGTAGGTGTCTACATTAATAAAAATGCACTACCCTCCTGACAATCTTGAAAAAACATTCACAGTGGGGTTTTTAAGAGTACATAAGAGATATTCAGTTACAGTTGAAAAGCCTAGTCTGACAGTATGATGTCTGAATCAATCCCTCTACTACTACAGATGATACTCTCAAACTGTACTAGAGACACCCCGATAAGGTAATTTGAGGCTACTTGCACTGTTGCAGCTCTGACAAGACAGATAAACCTCACCTCCAGTCTCCCTGGCAAAAGGTGAGGGAAACAAAGTAATACACATGGTTTTTGTCAAGGAGAAATGTCACCACATGGCAAGCCATTACGGAAAGAAACAACACATACCCTGACACAAGATTAACGAATATAATATCAAAATCTATACAGATTAGATGGAATGGAGCAATATGCCCATAGAGAAGTGGGGAATCCAAAACAGGATTTGTCTTTTAACTTGCACACCACTTTTTATTATTGGTTTGTATCTTTTGCATGTTTATCAGAGAAAGGAATTTGTTATTTCATATCAACACACTACTTCACAAGAGAAAAAGTCACTTTTTGCCTTTTTTACAGCATTGCCAGATGACCTTATCAAACTCGCCAAAGATATTAAGCCTATTGTTGAAATACAACAAAAAGGAGATGACTTTGTTGTGACATCAAAAACACCCAAGCAATCTGTAACTAACTCATTTACACTTGGAAAAGAGGCTGACATTACTACTATGGACGGCAGAAAGCTAAAGGTAATATATTTCAGGAATGGGTACATGTCTTTATTCATCCTTCTACTTCAGTTTCTGTGTATGAGTGAAAGTTGTTTGTACCATTTCCATGAGCATACATTTCCATCATTTCAACAAACAGGAATGTTTCTTCTACAACTCTTATTAAAATGCTGTGGTCTCCAGTTTAAATTAGCAAATGTGATTATGAAACGTTGGTATAATTTATTTCCTATTTAAGCAGTCTTCTACTTATTCTAATTGAATTCCAAAATCTAAATTTTTTTATCATTTTTAAATCTGCTTCAACAGTGTACTGTGAACATGGTAAATGGGAAGCTTGTATGCAAATCAGAAAAATTCTCCCATGAGCAAGAAATTAAAGGAAGTGAAATGGTAGAGGTAAGTGTTAGAAAATAATGGCACATTAAGAAAAATGCTGAAAGAAAAAATGTTCTGTGTTGATTAGCTCTTAGTGTAAGCTCAATACTTTAAAAAAATCCTGGCCCCAAAATTACTATATTACTTGCAGAATTCCTTACAGGTGATTAAATCTGCAGATACAGAATTTTAGTATTTCAAACTAAGCACAGTTCGTGGAAAATACTATTACTGTCTTTTATTATTTCTGTTTCTTATTAAAACCAATTGCCTTAGATGACTATCCTTTAAACATTGCTCATATATTTAAGGCAACCTGCTCAACAAATCTCTTTATTAATTACTACCCTGGGGCCAATTCTAGGCACTGAAATGTGAAGAACTATAGCTGCTGAGCACGTTGCAGAAAGACTCCTTACAGATTCCTCTAGATTACTATAGCAGTGTTTCCACCCTTAGCTTTACCCACAGCATTGGCTCTGGAAAGAAATAAAGTCTGAGTCAAACGCGAAAATTTACTCGTTCCACATACAATTCTTCAAAGTTCTTTAGTTAGTTCTAAATTGTTCTGTACTGACAAAGAGCTTTTCTCGATATAGTTAAGCTCACTTGGCTTCTAAGAAGTATCCACTTGGGTAAAGACTACTACAGGAGTGACAGCTAACTACATTAAAGCTATATGGTTTGGACATAGAATTTCATACGATCATTTTGAGTATCTCAAACTACTTTTCTAACAGTAAGTAAGCAAAACACCAGGCAAAAGAATCCACTACTATTTGGGACAGTGGATTTCTGTTACAGGAAGCCTATCTTTCTTGTAGTATCTATGATAGCCCGTAAAACAGAGTGATTAAATGTAGTTGATGATGGTATTTATATTTAGATTTTCCATCTTCAGAGCTAGTTCTGTAAAAAAGTCTTCTTTGGTATGCATGTTATCACATTTATAGGCAGGTACTGTAAATGAATTTTCTTGTGGAATGAGATGGATTTATACATGGAATTACAGAAACTTTTAGCCATTTAGCTATAAATAGATTTCCTAAAGTCTAAATGAAAATCGTGTTACGCATATTTGTCTTCTACAGACTATGACTTTTGGTGGAGTAACACTTGTCAGAAGAAGCAAGAGAGTTTAAAGACAGATTATGTTCTTTGTGACATCCTTACATACCTAAAATAAAGTGCAGTTTCCACAAGCTGTGATCTTTGTTGTCTGAAAAACAATACAGAAGATAATTATGATTTCTACTCTCCTTTCACGCATGCATCACTTTCCATTATTATAAGACTGTGTTTTCTCTGAGTACACTTCCAGATCCCTTCTATACTCAAAGTGACAGAATTCTGCCTCCCAGACAACCAAACACAGATATTAACTGAAACATTATGATTTTATCATAATAATCCTTGGGAGCGGACAAAAGCTGACATAAATGTTTCTTGACTTCTTACGTAATCAGTGAACACATTCAGCTTTAGTTCCTTTGTCTAATAAAGTTTGGTCTTCTACTAAAAACCCTTTCTCTACAACTTGGCCAGCAAAGAACAATTAGACATTTATTTAGTTGATCTGCACCACTTGTCTGTAACAGGAATAGAAAGAGTAATACTTTAAAAGCTATGAAGTATTTAACAGTCATAAGCAATTACAAAGTAATAATAGGAATGACTGCTCTTAAACTGAAGTACACAAGAGTACAATTAAACAAAAATGAGGCACTACAACAGAAAAGGGAATTAAATATTTTTCCAGTTTGCAACATGCTCCCAATATCTGCTTGTCACAGTGCAAGTTTGTGAAGCTCAACTAGACCATTTATGTTCAGATTATTTGTCTCTACTGAAGTATAAAATGCACAGGACCCACGCCTATAACCATTTCTCTGTTCACTGCTGATTAGATCCTACTATTATATTAGCAGTCCTATTTCGTACTTATTTAAGTCACTGCAGATTTGTTAGAACTGGTCTTGGGTGTAAGACCTCCATGAAAAACAGTTGCTGGACTCATTATGCCGTTTAAAATCTTCATGAGGACGTTTTATTCCAATTAAGAGTGCTGAGTCTATTATCTTCCTACCCTAGGAGAAGGGTGGTTTGTGAGGGAGGAGGTTGTGTTTTAGTTAATAACACTTGCAACATGATATAAGCAATCTGGGAAATGTATTCTTATTCTGGGGCAAGTCTGTTCCTCATGGGGAGTTTTACTGGCATAACCATGCGAGTATCATTGTGTTCATTTTGCTTCCCAGGCAGTTCTAATGCTAACTACACTTTTGCACACTAAATTAAATTCTATGTGAGTTACACATAAATAAGATCAACAGAACAGAAATCAAGACACTGGTAAAACTCGTGGAGAAGGCTGCTTTGAAGCATCTCTCCTGCAAAAAGCCATATAAGAGCCTCAAACACTTCTGTTTGGAAGTTGCTGGGTAACTGCTTCTAACTACACAACGAAACACTACAAAACAGAGCGTAATTTTCCAACAGTAAATTTGCAGAACACTGCAAGTCTTTAATGACCAAATGCATTATCAGTAAGTTGTAGGATACAAAATATGACACACTTCAGGTTTATTTCTAAACTAATGCAGACATCATTCATTACTCTGAGCACTACACTTTTAAAGCCTGTTACAAAACAATTGCTTTTGATACACTGTGACATAAAGTGGGATTGATGTTAAAGCAAAATGCATATGTATTTGTTTGCTTTTAAAAGAAACATGAAGGTCTTACTTTGGTTCAATGACTACTCAAATATTCCCATCTCACTTGACACAGTCTGCCTTGCACTCTCTTTTTCCTTATTCAACCCCTTAACAAAGTTCAACCCCAATACATGACAACTGGTATACAAAGGCAGCTTAAGTTACAGATTGTAGTACTACATACTAAAACCACACTAATCCTACACAGAACTTAAACTGATGCTAAACCATTATAATTTGAAAACACTAAAAATTCTTAAAAAAATACTTCACCTTACTTCATGATTGTGGTGATTTAGTAGTTCCAGCAACCGTGTCCATTTTTTCAGTCCAACGGCAACATTCTTCTGCCACATGGCATCTCAGATTTCGGTGAAATATTCAGTGCAGTTCCTTACGTGAAGCAGTCAAAACCTGAAGGATTTTGATCAGATTGCGTACCCTGCCCCATTGTCCAAAGTAATCCATCATTTCTGGATTACAAACTCTTACAAGCTTGGATGACAGCACCGGATTCACTCTTCCACAAAACCAAGTGAAACTTTCTGCAAAGGACTTCCTGAGAGTATTTATTTGGATCTTGTTCAAAACAGTTCATTTCCAATTTGGAAAGTTCTGAAAGGCTAATCTTGGCAGCAAGTATTTCTATCCATCACCAAACTCCACTCTTTGGTGATTCCATTGTTTTTCAGAGTGTCTATGGAAGGAATTTTTTCTGCTTTGGCATTGCTGCTTTGTGTCACACACTCCCACCACAATTTCAGTCTCAAATGTGCTTTCTTGGCTTCATTCTCATGTTCTTTTCATGACTTGTGTAAGCAGATCTGTGTATATATTGCACAAGGTAACAAAGTCAACCTGCTGCTGGCATACTTAGCATAGAATAATGTTAACTGTAAATATTAAATGCAGGAAACATTGCCAGAGACCCCCATCTCTTTTCTGTAGAGTCCTGAACACAGACCTCTGAGCATAGAACCACCATAATTTTCTTTTTTTTCAGAAGAGCAGCATATATAGTTGGCAAACACCTCCTGGGTCAGTGATTGAACTTCGTCTGTCATTGAAAATCTGTAGGTCAGGAAATTCTGAGTGTGAGATTGCCAGGATATGAACAGCAGTGTCTACCCATGAGGGTTTTCATTCGTATTCAGCCATTAAAAATAAAAGTGAAAATACACTAGTAACGGACATCAGGTAGGTCTTTCTCTCCCGTCTGTAGTTCGCTGAAAATTCCTCACACCAGTAAAGATGCAGACACGCTGCTTTATTAAACCCTTCATCAACACACCTCTAACTGTTCAGTCACAGATCTGCCATTTATCTGCCTATAAACCTGTTGGTGAGTCACGCATTAAGACATTAAGAAATTATCTCTCTATCCATCCACTTTATTGTTCTCATCACGCAAATGGCTTTAGTAAAAAAGGGCTAGTCCTTCACAAATACCGCCGCTTTACAACTGTCCGATGAAAACTCCTGGGGCACAACAACCCTGCTGGTGACAAGGCCACTTAAAAGTGAACCCTCGAGCCACAAGAAAAGGCCCTGCGCAGTGAGCCCTACACCCCAACCAGCTGCTGAGTCTGTTTGTTGTGCCGGCCGACTGCGGAGGAACGAGCCACAGCGCCCCGAGGTGACTGCGTGAGGCAGGACGCACCCTCTCTCCTCACAGCAACGATCCGCCCTCCATCTTGCCCGCCCGATGGAGCGCCACGCGCGCGCTTCCCCCTTTTTCGGCGGGAAAAGCCAGC